TTACAAGAATTTATTCAAATAGCGAATTGCTTTCATGTGCCTTGTGAGCGCATGGCTTCAGTTTTTGTACTGCAAATCGGAACCGTCTTTCTTAACCTTAACCACCTCACGACACTTTGCTATCTGTGCACAAACCTATTTCGAACTTTAAAACTTAAACGAGCACAGTCTTTCAATCAGAAGCGCAAGGGAAATGAGACTTTATCATACGCATGTCGGGCACCTTTGCTATAATCTACATGCACATAACTGGCTTTCAATAGTTACGGCACGCGATCACAGTGAACAGTGGTTCTGACTGAACAAAGCAAGTGTCGCCTGAAGAAACGAAAGTTCTCCACTCGATGGTGGAGAGAGAGAGAGAGAAAGTGAGAAAAAGAGAAAGAGAAAGAAGGGGAGGTAGAGGGCATTGACTTCGATAGATGGGCAGGAGCGTTATTAATTAAGGACGTCTTAGATTAACAGCTCTCTCCTAACGACTTTCTATCGCGCAGACGATATTCTAGTTCCCGCCTTTCTTTTACGTATAACGTTTCTGCTGACTTTTTGTTTTTCTATTCGACTTCAGGTCGATTATAGAAGCCTCCATTTCCTGCCACTTTTGAGCGTCGCTATTTTGGCAGATATCGTGGAGCAGAATACTTTTCATTCTTTTTTTTTACTAACCTCCTTTCTCTCTGATATATAATGCAGTCTCTTAATAATCCTCGGCCTTAGCCTTCGCTGAAATGATAGCGTCTTCATCATATTGAGAGGCCTCTACAAGCCAATCGGCTTACGAGGCTGGCAAAGTATGCCCCACTGCTCCCGCAGGGAGCGCGGTGGTAGCTTTACGGTGTAGTGCACTAATTGGCATATTTTTTTCCCCTTCTGGTTTCAGTTCGCGCGTAAATTCATTCTTTCTAGAGCTATTCTTCGCTCGAACGACCTCACCAAACTTATTTTTTTTTGAGTTTGGAATATTGTTGTACGGAAACTTCAACGGTGCGGTTTAAGAAAAGGCTGGAGGCGAATGAGAATTCGGATGCGCTTATACATAATTTACACACCAATACTCTTGCTTGTAATGACACTCAGTGTAACCTTACTGATAACTTCATCTCGTCATCAGCTGAGGTACACCTCACTAGTGCGAATTTCGTTATATAAAAGTCCGATTCTATAAAGGGCCTCTGAAGCACTCAGAGTTCAAAGATGAGAGTGATTTCTTTCTCGCATCCATTACCGTGTGTCTACAGACGCCGTCTCCACCTCTCCATTCATCTCTTCACAAAACACGCTGACATTGTCGGCATCGAGGATATCAGGATTTCGCGCTGTTCGGGTGTAGGTTGTTATCGGCGCTTGCACTGTCGAAAACGCCCTAAACGAAGGGAACCGGTGCCTCGCATAACTATCGCATGGCCAGAAAAATTTGACCATTTTCTCATAGACGTGAGTCACATGTGTGACACTTCGTTTAGAGAGGCATCTTGACTCTTTTAACGTGAGTCATTCGAAGCCCTATTCTCCAAAGGAGAGTCAGCGAGTGACTCTTCTAAAGAGAGTCGACGATTGACTCTCCTAAAGAGAGCCAATGTGCCTGCCTAAAGGGAGTGTTGCACGCGTGTCTCTCAGAAGCATAAAAGGAGTGACAAAGGACACATTTTTGTGTTAAATTATTACAGACAATTCATAACTGATATCTCCCGTGTATGTAGCAATTGGGAACACATTTTCTCATGACGTATCGAGAGATGACAGATGGCGTCACTTATAGTGCGTAAAAGAGCAGAGAAGCCCGGAGAGAATAACCCACATGCTCTTTGTATCTTCAGAGGTTGCTCAAAAACCCTCTCATGCAAGAGGATTTGATTGTTGCTTTTCTTTTCGCATGTTGCTCGTTAACATACTCGTTAAGGTCTGGGTGTATGAGCTCTCACTTGTTTCCCTATCACTTCAGTGTGAAATTTGCGCGCCCACGGTGTTAGTCAAGTGCACGTGCTAACTTTTAATGACAAGGCAAATTACCTGCTTGATGTTTTTGATTTGGCAGTATTTATTGCGAAGGCGCTGGAAAAAGCGGTAGCGGTTGGTGCGAAAAAAAAAAGATTTAAGTTTCAAGTAGCGTAGTGCTCCTGTTTACCATGTTTTCTTCGTCCTAACCTTTCTTGCGCCGGGCTTCTACCGCTATAAGCATGCATCTATACTCGCCCAAGTGAAAGTCTTGCTCAAGAGCAGCCAAATGCTTACACTGAAAGTTACATTAAGAAGAGACTTCTCGTTTGACTGCTTAAAAGAAAAGGATGAGAGGTAAATACAGTTACAAATATCGGTCACTTTTCGAGAATGGCTCTGGGCTTAGTGAAAGTTTGCGCAGTTTCGTTGTGCGTAAGCAGAGTAGAAAGTCAGTCTGGTACAAGGAAAAAAAAAAAACGCAAGTGTGCGTGCACTGAACTAAAATACGCGTGCCTGTTGAACAACTGAGTTTCATAATGATACACTAGAGGGAAATCTGGCGCCTATTGCGATTGCAAAACATGGCGCTTCAGTCTGCACGGGAATGATTTGTATAGCCTATGTATTTGCCCCAATTTCGTCCTTCGGTTCCATACAGCTATTTTGTGTTGACAGCTGGTAATTAATGAAGATGAGCTGTCCAACTTCACCAAAGCTTTAAAGCAGCCCCGCCGCGGTGGTCTAGGGGATAAGCTACTCGGCTGCTGGTACGCAGATCGCGGGATCAAAACCCGGCTGCGGCGGCTGGATTTCCGATGGAGGCGGAAATGTTGAAGGCCCGTGTGCTCAGATTTGGGCGCACGTTAAAGATCCTCAGGTGGTCGAAATTTCCGGAGCCTTTCACTACGGTGTCTCTCATAATCATAATCATATGGTGGTTTTAGGACGTGAAACCCCACAATCAATCAATCAGCTTTAAAGCAGTGAGCGCCGAGCAAATATTTTACCCGGAAACAAAATTAGAGGGACCCAAAATCTTTGCTTTTAGGAGTGGAACGCGATAGCGATATCCTGTTTCTAGTGGGCACTTCAAACACTTATAGTCTATGAAACCTTTTCGAACTTGCTATGCACCCACTACGTTGCCTCAAGGGAACAGGCACAGTGGCATGCGTGCCTTTTGGAGTGGGTTACCGGCTTTGAACCTCAAGCTCATTGTGACAATCGCATGTTCTGACGTCCGATGGCAGTGGGCGCTTGTACCACGCTTTATTAGGGCAAGATATTGTGGTGTATTGTCAAGCATGAGTACAGGACGCCCGTGTTTGTAAAGCATGTGTTACTTTCACTACATTTCCACGCAGAGGAACTTACTTTCACTGTATTCGTAAGCGTATGCGTGGCTGTGGGGTTGAATACCCGCTTGCCACGCTAACGATGCGGGTTTGATGCCCACTCGGACCCAGAATTTTTTATTATTTGTGTTCCTTTGCATCATTCTCGATCTTTCCATCAAGAATTCGACGATTTTGCGTCAAAAAGCCAAAACACAGCCTTAAAGAGCACCAAAAGTGGGTTCCCAACCTACAGCATGAAGACTAGGCGAATGCATTTACTAGCTGCCATTCTAACGATCACAGAGCCATATTTCCTTTTTTAGTAAGTATTAAGAAGAAAAACCGACATGTTGAGCTCGGCATTGACTTGTAGTCAGTGCTAGACTACTGGGAAAAAAATCTGGCAAGGAGGTCAGGATTTTGTTTTAGAAAGTGCAAAACCATCTTGCATGGGGGGGGGGGTGGTGATATTTACGGTGTTCTGAGGAAAAGAGGAACAGGCAAGGGCCTCTCTTGCAGCCCCCCTTGCTACCATCAGCCACGAATCTGGATGCTACGACCAGTAAACCGCGATGCTTGTGACATCTCATGAAGCTGTGATGAGCCGCTATGACGCGCCCCATACAATACACAAAATGAAAATGAAGAATGAATGGGAGTGACATAGCGATCCACGATCAACAATGTCGGGCCAAAAATACTATCGTAAAGAACTAGTTATCTGGCGCAAGGACAAAACAAAGAACGAAGTAGAGACACCTAAGCAATAAGATGCCCCCCCCCCATACAGAAATCACGTATATGTCAATCTGTCCCTGACAAGCACGGTGCCGTTGGCGTATCTGTCAGGACAATTAACTTGATGCTGCACTGAAGTTTTATAAAGGCTGTGTTGCGAAATATAGTCGAACCTCTTCATAACGAAAACTGATATATCGAATAGTTGGTTATACCAAACTTAATACGAACAATGCTCAAGCATGCCTCATTTCGGTCACATTCATTATTTTTATAACGAAACTAAAAATGCGACAGCCACTGCCCTACTGGCTGTAATGAAGAAATATTTGGTTGGTGTAAGAAGGTTCAAATCTCGAAAGATAGAATGAAAAGCAAAATAAACCTTAGAAGGAAGGAACTATGAACACGGGGTATAATTAGTAGCAAATGCGTGCGCACTATAGCGCATCCCAAGTGCGTTCTGCTCAACACTTCGTCGTCATTCTCTGGCTCTTCCGCACGTGAATATATTGAAAGACAATTCCGAATCACAGTTTGGAAAAATGTGGCTGTTGCAGCCAGATTGGCGGTATAAGTGTGGGCGTCGCGGACGATGTCAGGAGAGAGGGGCTAGTTTCGGAAACTAATTATGATTAAAGCTGCCGTAGAAAGGGCCCTCTCTTGCGTGGAAACTCAAACACTTCATTCTATAGGCAGTGCATGCAATTATGTTTCTAAAGGATCATTGAGCAAGCCGGAGAGCCAAAACACCATAGCCGTTTAGTTGTCGACACTGTTACAATGAATATCGGATATAACGAGCTAAATGATGGTCCCGATGGTATTTTGTTATACCGAGGTTCAGCTGTACTTAGTTCATGAGGTGGGGGATCGAGGATTCCGTAGCATCACGCTTAAAAACAGGCAATCAAGCGTATTTGACAAACAGGTGCTCAACTTTTTTTTTATTTCTGAAATGAAATAATGTTCTGGTTGATTACTTACTTGAGGACGCCGGGCATATGTCACTGCAGAGGCCGCGAGGAAGCAGAACTGAAAACAGAAAGCCAAATCAATCAAGTCATGTGAACACTTCGCTTTAACTAGTATGACCTATCGCTTAATATATATATATATATATATATATATATATATATATATATATATATATATATATATATATTTCACGTCAATGTGCATTTTCTTCGATCAATTTTAGCAACTCAAATAGCGTTTTAGCGATCTGTCGGTGCAACGGCGTCTGTGAAGCAGATATTGTTACGTAAAATGAGACGAGACATGAGTATTTGAGATTTTATTGATATCAATCAAAACGGAGCACAGCGGGCAAGCCAGTCTTCTTCGCCGTCTTCTGTACGCAGAATGTTTCACTCTTGATGCACTAGCTACGTAGCATTACCCCCCCCCCCCTCCTTGCCCAGGCTGTAAAAGCGCCGCCTTGGTGTACTGGTTCTCAAAAGGAGGGCGGTATGGTTTCAAAAACGTACTGACGCGGACTACGTCACCGGGAGACGTTAGCAGGCGGGTTAGTCGTGGAAACTGTAACAACCTCATAGATAACGTTACTCTTCGTATGGTACGGTAAGGTCTTTTGTACCGAGATAACAACTTCTCGGGCAATCCAAAACGATGAGTTGGGCCCGACAGGAGAACTATAGGGAACCAGGCGAGAAGCGAACATCGAAATGCTTGCTGTCGTGGAGAGTCTTCTTGGTGTCTTGTGAAGTCAAAAACCTAGAGCTATATTTCAGATATACGTATATGTCCTTCCGAGTCGTTCGGCATTGTAAAAAAAAAAAAAAAAACATTCAGCAGATCCCACGCATTTTGGGAACAAGTTTCACGTGAATCAGTCAGCGAGTAGATGCCTGTGCTGTATATTTAGGCTTTGAGTCAAGCTTTATGAGATGGACTGACGTTTTTATTTATTTATTCATCTTTATAGTAGAGTATAGCTCTATGAACATCGTGCTCTTACCATGAACGCTGACTACGCAGGCTTTTAAATGATCAATGATGGTCTGACATCAGCATTCCTGTTAGGACGTGCACCTCTGTCTTATTCAAAGGAATAACACGAAGCGGTGTATTTTCCTTTTTGTGTTGCTCGGCTCCAGAGCAATACACTAACGAATTCTACGTATGATATTCACATTATCGCACGCTACAGTGCAATGTTTTGAATACCATGTGCAGCGTACGTTTCTGAATTGATCTGGGGTCGTACGACGCCTGAAACGGAGTACAAATGTAATATTCATGTGACTCTTATGAAAGCGGAGCCAACACTGGCACCATATTTGATGTTAACCCGACATCACGTCTATATCTTAGAAGCACATACAGATATCTCTATTACATTGTTTTATTGTTAGGTAACTCGCACGGCAACCTCGATGGACGTTACAACGACATGCATGGAGTCCTTTTTTCTAAAACGTTTCAAGACCTGACATGACTTGGTAGTAGATGGTTTGATTTCCACGCAGAATGGATGGGCTTGATTTCTGCTTGGATCCTGATTTTTATTCCTAACATTTGTCGGGCAAGCACCGCTGATGCCGCATTTTCTGGACGCTCGCCTATTTCAAATTAACAATGTCTGCTGCCGCCATTCCGGGGCATATATCAGCAGTGAATTACGCGTGGCGCATACCACGGCCCGGGGTATACGTGTATGGGCCCCACGTGACAGGAGGGAAGGTTTTCATGAAATACACGCAAGGATTTCCGCATTATTTATGTCATGACCAAACAGTCATGTTCGTCGTACCTCCTATGCCAGTTTTTGTCAATTCTATGTTAAGGAGGGGACAACCAAAGAGCCCAGGTACACAGAGAGAGAGAGAGAGACAGACAGACAGACACACCGAGACAGACAGACAGACAGACAGACAGACAGACAGACACACCGAGACAGACAGACAGACAGACAGACACACCGAGACAGACAGACAGACACAGACAGACAGACACAGACAGACAGACACACATACAGACAGACAGACACAGACAGACAGACACAGACAGACAGACAGACAGACAGACAGACAGACAGACAGACAGACAGACAGACAGACAGACAGATAGATAGATAGACAGATAGATAGATAGACAGATAGACAGATAGATAGATAGATAGATAGATAGATAGATAGATAGATAGATAGATAGATAGATAGATAGATAGATAGATAGACATGTGACCCAGATGTTTGCTGAACACGGGACCCACTACCAACACAATCTCTTCTCCGTTATCACATAGTTGTTCAAATTTATTTTAACAACAACGCCCGTCTGAATAGGTGCAACAACCTGAAACATTCAATAGAGGCCGTCAGTCGAGTTTGATCAGTAATCCAACTTTTTTTTTTCTGCCAGTATCGTGTTTCGTAAAGTTTTGTTGCTGTGTGTCAGTCAGTCAGAAGGAGATAGTAAACAAGTTTTTTAGTCGCTTAGGACACAAATAAAAAACTGGTTTAAGTAAAAATTGTCACACTTATCGAACGTGATCTTGCTTGGTGAAAACATGAATATTGCTGGGGCACGTGCTAAAACCTGTTAAATTACGTCAATGATACACGTTCATTATCGCAAGAAGCACATGAAGTAGTGATGCAGTTATATCGGTGGTACTATCGAGAGTGATGAGTGACTATTTAACTATAAATGGTAGAAGAAACTATTGATAGCACGATCGATAAGAAGTTTCGTAGTACTATCGATAGTATAGGATCACCTACGCGAGCTGATTGTAGCATAAACATGATTCTCCGAGAGTTCGGAACTATTCGGTGGACCAGGAGAAGCGGACTGAAAGGCAAGAAAGTTTACATGCTTAACGTTCCATCAGTAGATTTATCGGTTGACATATATGATAAGCTGGACCGCTCATCTTAAGCAGAAAGAAAGGCGGAGCTACGCGGCTTCAAACTTCTATTGTATTTTGTGATTTGAAAACAAAAAAAAGTATCAGAAGCTAAGTTGTTGCTTGCAAGGTGTAACTATAGTTACTTTTGAATAAAAACTTATTGATTTTATTTATTTATCAATATGTTCAAAAATTTTGATTGCGGCAATAACTTTCTTTTGTCGCATGATCGCTCATAAGCGATCTAAATGCTGCTCAGAACGTTGCGACGTGGGAATTTCATTTAGGAACATACGCCGGGAGCCTATAAAGTTATACATGTGCCGCGAGGAAAAAGATAAACTGCGATGACCTGATACCCAATATGTGTGAGCAGCCGTGCGTTGTATATAGGGTGAGTGGTGACAAAAAGCTCTGTCGTTGCAAACGAATGAAACTGGCCGTATAATATTTATATATTCAATGCACAGCATGTTTGGCAAGCTTTTCACGAGGTGATGCTACACACTCTTGTAAAAATGATGCGAAAATTCGCGCACGCTGCAAAGTAGCAAAACAGCAAAACGAAAAGAATAAGAACGTGAAATTAACTGTTATGAATATGTTTTACCCATATGGAATGCATAATGGGAAGGTCTTTGAAACGGAAGAAATGCGGCAGCTTGTTAGAACGAATATGAAAAGCGATCTTCACACCCTCCTCATATGAATTTCGAATACAAATAAGAATATACTGAATCTGAAAGGGGCGAATATTTCTTGCGTTTGGCAGCTATATAGTATCGGAAACGCACAACTGCACTTGTGTGTACAGCATCTAACTCAACAAAACAACGTCCTGTAAAAACGTAATCAAATTGAAGGAAATAAAGATTCATTCCTGAGAACAACGCAAGCGGTAAACAACAATTGCAGCAGCATTTCAGAGCAAGGGGGCACAGCCTCATATCCCATCCATCCTAACAGGCCCACACGCACACTGACGGATTGAAACGCGAGAATTTCAGGCTGAGCAAAGCACATACTTTCTCGACCAGCGTGCACAGTCCGTGTCATAACGGCGTAATATTGTTTATAACACCTAAATCAGAGACAATATTATCGCTAATTGTCACGCTTGCATTTGCATGACGTGGATATTGCGAGCAAACGCTGATAGTGGTTATACTGAAAAATAAAATGTTGTCACGTTCTAGTCACTGAGCGCAGTATAAGAATCATCAGCGAAATGAAAAATCACCAGACAGGCACGAATTCATCATTTGCAAAAGGGCACGTCGGAAAAAAAAGTGCCGCCATATCCACGAAGTGAATGATGATGAGTGGGCGAAGCTCCGGAGGTAAACCTGGTAAACCATGAATCCTCCGTACATTTTGCCCACTCGATTTTATTACATCGCTCCCCCTAGCGTACGTCGCCGCACTAAATCGAACGATTGCCTTCAACCAATGACACGCGCCATATGTGACATCATTCCTATTTTATAAGATCTCGCGTCTTTCATCAACTACAAGTACCGCTTTCTAGTTTATAACATCTTGCATCTTTTCATCATCAGCTACAAGTACCACCATCTAGTAAACACTACAAGAACTGAACGAGAGGTGGCTACATACAGGAGACGGTACCGCCATCTAGTGAACACTGCAAGAACTAAACTAGAGGTGGCTACATACAGGGGACGGTACCGCCATCTAGTGAACACTGCAAGAACTAAACTAGAGGTGGCTACATACAGGGGACGCACAGCCCACGCCCTAAGGAGCTTCACCCCTAAAAAGCAGAAATACCGAAAGCCTTTCAGAATACGAACTCTTTTTTTTTAGTTATCCACGAAAGTGCACGCCGTTTTCTTAATAATGCATACGGACTATCTCGTGCAACTTTCAGTCCTGCCACGGCCGGGCTAGAGGAGTGACACACGCGCACTGTCGCTTTTGTAGCCCGGCCGCGGTCCTACTCGCAGACACTCATACATAACTGGCAATAGCTTGATCAAATATATTGGATGAATTTCCAGCGTGCCACTTACCAAAACACAGACAACACGCCTGTTGCTGGTCATGATGTCGTCTGCTCCTACAAAAGTCGCCTCTCTTGAAGCCCAAAGCAAAGTTTCGGTATGGCTTTGGTTTCACAGTCGAGCACTTTCAAGTTGATGCACGCGTGCTAGCTAGCGGGCCACGCGTTCCGATCTCCTTTCCTCTTGGAGTCTTGTCAGGAGCGTGACGTCATCGTTGTCTCGATCCACGTGACCATAATGTCCCGAAGCAGCAGCAGCAGCAGCAGCAGCAGCAGCAGGAGGAGTTTGCGTTACTCAAGCGAGTGACGTCTCGAATGACAGGCGGCTCTCAGCGTCTTTGCGGTGCTTTGTTGCGGGCACCACGCTCAGCGCTCGAACTGTTGCGAGCAGCAGCCCAGATGCCGTTCAAAGCTCGTGGGGCCACGTTTTTGCAGAGGGCGTTTTTGTAGTCCCGTGATAATTTTAACGTTATCAGAGAGCGCGTATCTTTGACGGCTTTCGCAGCATTTGCCGGACAAGCGGCTGTTTTCTTTTTTGCCCTGCGAGGACGAACTTGAGATTGGGCGTAACAGACAAGGCGAACGGGGAGGGGAAGCAATAGTGTCGCGATTAAGGTTTGAACTCAAGCAAAACAGAAAGTCAAGCTAGCTGGTACCGATTCATACTCTCAAATTAGAAATGTTTTTAAATTACAAGGGAGGGCACAGCGAAAGCTCTCGCAAATGAGGGCTTTATTGCTTTATATTTTCTTTTCTCGGTTTCTAGTTCATCTGATGGTCGCTTGTCTGAAATAATAAGTGATGCGCGAGCTTCGCAGGCGATGGTGAGGTACGAAGAGCACAGGAAACAATATTCCGAGTTGTAGCCGTTCCTCCGCTGGTTAGAGAATGTTGTGCTTGTTCTAAGGTACTTGGCTGCTGACCCACTGGTCGCGGGATTGAATCCGGGTTGTGGCGGCTGCATTTTCAATGCAGGCGTCGAAGCTGTAGACCCCTGTGCTCAGATTTGGGTGCACGTTTGCATGTTGTTCTTGTTGCAGAACAATGTGAACTGGACAAAAATGCAGCCAACTGAACATTTCGCATTAGCATATGAGAACATCAGAGCCATATGACAAAAGGGGAAAACAAGTCAAAGGCAAAAAGGCAGTTGATAATCAAAGCAAAGGGGATACGAGCCTGCATAGAAATAAGGCAGAAAAACTTTTGTGGGCTGGAACACTCACAGTAATGTTGTGAAAGTGGTAGACACTGCGTGTGTGAAGTGTGCAGGCGTACGATGCCGTCATTTGAAACAGTCTGCTTAGATTGATGCTATCCTCAAGGCGTCGACAAAGAATATCATTGAGTCATAACGACTAGAACGATTGTGAACTGCGTGAAATTATGAAAAAAAAAGCAAGATCGAAGACACACAAAAAATTGAGTGAAATGTATTTCTGTTTTCTATTTTGCATTCTTTCGTGTTGTCTTTTCCTAGTTTCTCAAAGTTCACAACTGTTTAGTAGGATGCACCAGTTAACTAATCCCTCCTGATGGCCTCGACGATCACTATTACTTATCAGACTCATTATATACGTGTCTGCAAACGCAGCAGCAAACAAAGAGCTCTCATACAGGACGCGACACTCATACTGTACCGATTAAGACGGACGGCCAATGTGTGTGCAAGTCGGTGGGATGGAATGGGGGTGTTCTTTGGTAGAGTCACGTGGTCTCATGTGTTGCACGGCGGTGCAGCAATCTGTCGCGCCCTCAACTGCCTTTCTCCAAAACGAAGGCGACAGTCAGACGCAAGAGACCGTCATCTTGTTGATCCCGCTTAAAGCGAGTCTAGGCAATCCTGGTGGCAAGGGGGGGGGGGGGGTACGTTGGAAGAGCTCGGTTATCTGAGCCGACGAGGCGCTGCAACTGGAGCCCGGCGGGAAGTGGCGGGTGTTTTCTGTCGGCGAGGAACGTGATTGTCGCCCCTGAGGAAGAGTCGAAGCTAAAAGGCACTAACGTCTTGAAACTGCTGGAATATTTGGAAAGGTCAAGTCTCAAGACAGAGACGGCTGGACAACGAGAACTGTGCTGAGTGTTCTTTAGATAGATAGATAGATAGATAGATAGATAGATAGATAGATAGATAGATAGATAGATAGATAGATAGATAGATAGATAGATAGATAGAAGTATGTAAAAATCAGCGTGGACAAAACGGAGCACAAACCAGAAGGACATAGTACGAGCGCTAACTGAAATTTGCTGAAGCACATAGCCGTCTGTTGGTGTGCAGGATTGCGAGGTACGCATGCCGAATAATTTGTTTCACGTAACCTTGAATTCCTGAGCATGCGTAGGGTTGGTTTCCGTTGCATTCGTTTTTCATTGAGATACACTTCAGTTGTTTTACAGAGCTCGTACTGCGTTGTCCTGTGCTCCGTCCTGTCCCCGCCGAGTTTTACAAACCTGGATTGCTTTCAGGTTGCCCACCTGTCTACCTAGCTGTAGATGCATGAAAATGGCTATTCATCTTTCTCTGACCCGCTCTAGATAATTTTACGTATGACACATGGTTGCCACAACCTTGGGCTGTTCAACGAATGTTGTCCCTTTTTTGCATATTGCTACGTGAATCATTAAGTTCATGACCCAATCACTTTAATTGATCTAGAGCAGCAGTGTTTGTTCAGTTAAAGATAGGAAACGCCAAGACAGACAGCCCAATAAAGCGGTAACAAAAGCCGCTGGTAAAGTAGTGTATACCATAACTTCTGTATTAACCGTCCGGTAAAAACAAAACGTAGAGTGAAAAATAGCAAAAAGCACAGTATCAACAACGCCGCTCAAAAGAAGGAAACAGCAAAAAAAAAAAAAAAAAAACACACACACAGCATATCCACTCCGTGGATATGCTGTGATGAGTGGGACATGATGCGCTGGAGGGTTTCATCGCTAAACCGAGAACCATCCGCCAAGATCAGCCACTACATAATCAAAGGCGTGACAATTATTGTACATATTCATTAAAAAATATGATTACTCGAAAGTGGTAGCTATACATCGCTTCCTTTACCCTTCATTATAACGGCTATATGGTCGGCGAACTGGTGGATCGACAAAGTAGTGGGCCGCTTGCAAAAATTGAATGGTCACGTACAAACAAGCGATTGACACAGTGGGACAATCTAAGGTTCTTTAACGTTGTACGTGTAAAGCAATCCCTGTTTTATGCGTGCGAAGCCAGAGCCTTCCTAGCCGCCTCGTTAGTTATCGCCAGCGTTCCTTATCAAAGACGATCACCTCTCGCTGCTTTCTCGTTACTATAATCAATGCTTTGCCCGATACGTGTTGTTGACTTGTCGCACGTTTGGCTCCCTACTTCATCGATAAACTGCTCCACGTGCACTCTGTGTTAACGATGTGCACATTAATAGTCAATCTACGAACCATGCATACACCGAACGCAAGCAATCTTTTTAGGGGCGAAGCTCCTTATGGCGTGGCTTGTGCGTCCCTCGTAGTACGTAACCACCAGTGGCACATACCCGAAATAGCGGTCCTTACAATTTTGACCTCCCAGGTGGTTCCGGTGAGAGATTTCTTCTGTGCGTTGTTGAACAATGAAAGATAGTGCTCAATGCACATGTTAATGGCTGCTAAGGGGGAATGAGAGACAGGAGCATTCGGCCTTTAGGTAACGCGCACGCTGCGATCCCCATTAGCAGCTAATGGCATGTACATTGAGCACGATCTGACAAGAAAGGGTTGCTACGTGATACTCGCTGGGTGTAACCTCCTTGGTTTTAGAAAGGTTTAGCGAGCGTTGGGCCGCATAGCCATGAATACAGTGAACTAGTATATACCCTGAACTCGAGATGGTTAAAGGTGGGAAGTAAACCCGAAGCGCAAGCCGTAAGAATAGGGTTCCTCGATGCGTGCGCGCGCCCCCTTGCAGGGTGGAGACAACAGCGTTGTCTGCTACGGCGTCCGCCATTAGGATGCCCTTTCCGCAGGCCACCTATAGCCACGATAGGCAGCCAACGGGCGTCGCGCGGCTGCATGCAGAGTTCGTTGTGTCAAAACGAGTGGTACTCAAACAACATGACAAAAATACAAAGTTTTCGCATCGGGAGTGTCAAGGTCTCAGATTTCTATTCTCTAATCTTTATTTTTAAAGCGACATTAGCAGCTGGAGTTGTTCGCAGCAGAATACTACCGTCCACGCCAGCCACGTTAACATCTTCAGTTAGCATCTTCTTGGGCTAGTCGGTAACTATTTATACTGGTTAAAGATGCGAAACACACGCACGCAAGTCCCATAACCTTTCATTGTGTCTGTGTGTTTTGTGCCTTTCACAAAAGTGTAAAAACAGTTTGCCTGCCGGTCAAAAAAAGAATTAAAAAAAACAACGTGCTGTCACGAGAAAAGAGAAAAACTGTGATTGCACACCATATTTTCAGATCTAGTTTTCGAATTATTCATCAGCTACTCCATTTACGGACCGCACCCTGCAACGCACAGTATTCTGAATTTTGTTTTCATCTTTTTTACCTTACTGTAAATAGCAGATGGGCAAAAAAATTGTTCAATACATATACTATTTGGGGCTCTACATACGGCTTTTACGGCATTAAATCATGACTCGCACGCAGACACTGACTATCAAACCAGGTTTAGCGTGTTTTCCGCTGGAATATATTATAAATTAGTAACTGTAATAAAGCGTTCGTCGATATCGTTAAAATGAAGCGACCACACGGCTTCTCAACAATAAGAAAGCAAATTGCGTTCAATATACGGCAATTTCTGATGCCATAGCTTGTTTATTTCATCGATAACTTTAATATATTTCAAAAACAAGTGCTACAACTCACTGCAAGTTAACCGCAGCGCATGTCTTGCTTCCACTCCCACTGGTTCTCGCTGTTTCGAGCTGGCGCAGGTGAATGCGAAGCCTTACTCGTGCATAACTGGATATCAACATTTTTTTCAGAGAACCCTTGTGTTGCTGGCATGCCTGCACACTGCACTTGGTCCTCTTGATTAAATATTCAGTTACAGCTTTGAGAGGGGACTTCAGGGTGAACAGGTTGTCTGTCCAGGATGTGATCCCTTCAAAGTGTTCTTCACAAGATATGAGCGAGCTCATAACCTCACCGCTCGGATAACACAAGTTCTCACCATCCTGAACATACTCCTTTAGTGCAGTTAAATATGCGTGTTCATGGCTCGCCGAGCCTTGCATTGCAGCCCTGCACTGCTTGCAGTCCGATACCCAAGTTTTATAAGGGTTTCATAGCCTGTTGTTCCACTTGCGAATTTTATCTGAAGGGCTTGTTTAATTGTTTTGATGACCAGGTAGTACCTCGGTTGCTGTTTCGTGATAAGGCTCG